TGCTCACCAGGACAACGAAACCACCAAGACAGGCATAGACGATATGAGGAGTCGTAACTTCGAACTGGAAAGGGGATGAATAATGAGCCTGGGACAGAGGATAGAAAACACACAGGATGGAAATTCATGACGTCGTTGGTCGATAAGGCTGACTGAACAGCCTTTCTACAGCCTCAAGAATGCCAGACGACCTGCGGGGTTCTGGGTTTGGGAAGAAAAGAGAGGCCTTATAACGACACAAGGGCCGCCAAAAAAACTGGTGGTAGAGGAAATGAAAGCTTGGAGTTGGCGAGCCTGAGGCGGATATGGTCTTGGCCGCCGAATGTTTATATATTTGTTCCTGCCGGGGATTAATAATAACTACTTGGCACGTGTTCCTCTAACCACTCCCGGCTCAAGACCAGCCAAGCTCACGTCCACCCTCCACGGAAATACATTTCCCAGTCCTTTTCCACTCGGTACAGTCCCCATTTGCATCAAGAACTGTGCATGCTTCCGACCGACCGAGAACACTACTGCTTTTGCCAGCCAAAGCATCAAGGGCTCACGTCGACAGGGTCACCATCAGAAACAGGTACCACTAGATCCATCGCAGCTTTCTCGTAACCCATCGAGCATGCCATTCAGCCTCACATCCACGCCAATTTTGCTCGACATCTTCATATCGTCCTCCATACCACCCCAGTCTTGGTTTGCCCCATCCCAATTTCCTACTTTTCATCTTTCCTTGAACATTCCGCACAAGAAAATTTTGTCACATCACATATGTCAAATGCCCTCATTCTCGTCCTGCTGACCTTCTTATCTTTTCCCTCAAATAACCCGATCTGGGTGTGTTCCCACACCTTTTCTATTGGCTCCAACTCTTGAGCACAGCAAAGAAGACCTGCATGCCATCGGTTCCTCTTCACGCTAGTCGCTTACGAATGCTGCCTTGGCGCCAACACAAGGCAGCCTTGCCTCATGCCCAAACACGCGTTTACAGCAACTCTACCCTCTCTTTTCCCCGTCACCCATCGCGACGAAGTATTTTGCCTGGTTTTCACGTATTTTGTCCAACGAGATCCGTTTACGCCATACTATTTCCGATGCTTGGTTCTAGCCATACGACTATGGGGAATGTGTACCCCAGTTCCGATGGCATGCTGGCAATCGCACGACCCCCCAACGAACAAAAGCCGAGATCAGTGACCGCTCACGCTTCTATACCCTGTCCGTAAGTTCTCGAACCTGAGAGCAGAGCAGTTGAAACGACCATGGTATTTCCATTGCTTTCTTGTAGCTTGGCTTCGTTCGCAATGAAATTCCTTGGCGTTGCGCAGCGAGAAAAATTTCCGTCCCCCCCAACTTCAAATGCCCCAAAACGAAAGTCACACGGCATATCGAACATACTCAACCCCTGCATCCTCCCTGCTCTCTGTTATGTTCTCGCTCGTTTCTCTTTTCCTCTTGAGATGCGGTTCTTATGGGCGCCTACTATGATATCTCCCACACGTCACTAGTATTGATGATCTTCGCAAATCTTCCCAATGTCATCATAGGACACCCAACCCTCGGTTACGAACCAGCTAATTTCTAAAGGGCATACTTCTGATTGAAGCTGGTCTTGTTGGATCAACAGACCCTATCGGTGTGACTGGCTACCTCGTCCAGTCCAGAGTACGATGCTTGATCACTAGACCTGCATCAAGTCACTCTCCTGTTGGACAACACCACATTCATGCCCTACCCCGTTTCCCTGAAACCTAAGTTGTCGAATCATAGATCTAGTCATACATCATCCCGACAGGCATACAGGGAGACAGGAATAGCATCTATGTAATTATTCCGAGGATCCAACCCCTTCAAGTAAAAGTGGTCATCATCTTCCATCACCCCTTATAAGAATATCCTCGCTTGATGAACGTCTCAATAAGTCGCTGGGAACGTCATTGAGTTTTTCTTGTTGAGTTGTATGGCTCTGGATCATGAAATACATTTGCCATCCTCGTGCATTCGATATTAATTTCCATCTAAGCGGGCCGTAGGTCATGATACAAACTCCTGCTCACCATACCGTTAACTTGAGGTCGCAGTAATGGGCCAGGTTTCAACTCAAGTTCCCCTTCGACTGTCACAGGTGAGCGAGTTGCTCCGAGACATCTACTCGGTGCAGCCCAACACCCAACCATAAATCCCGCATCACATCAAATTCACCCGGTTACGCGGCCTTAACTCTTATAATCTTTAGGCCTTCCTAGACTCCTTTAACTATGCTCGTCCGGACAGATATCTCGTTCGTTCAGATATTATCGTAGCGCCTTTGCTAAAATTCCATCGCCCAGCCGTTCGCAAGTTTGCGAGAAGTACCAAGGTGTAGCACATGGAAGCCTTAAGCACGACATCACCGGACTTTAATACCACAGACCCGAAACCGACTTCATTCCCGCATTTTACCTTAATGTTAGCTGGGGGCTGTCCGTCGGCGACCTTGGCCCGGAGGGCCCAGAGGCTTTGTCGGTTTAATATTAACACTCATTGCTAATCGATTGCCTCTCTGCTTACAGTTGGTCAAATAATCGAACTCATATCCGGCGGGGCGCTCTCCATCTTTTTTTTCTGGCTAAAATAGAATCTTCCTGAAATATACAATGACGTGAATATGTCTCTGGTCTCCTTCCACCGTACCAGTTCTGATCGGCTGAATATTTCTGACGTTCTCGTGATGAACGGTCGAGGCGGAGATGTAGCAAGGCGCGTGTCAATATGCCAGATACTTTAAGTTGGAGTTGTAGATACCACGTGGTATCATGGTTTTTGACAGCACTTAGAAGATTTGAAGCACGAAGGGTAATTGACCTGATGCATACCGCTGTTGAGATGATGTCAAGCTACTAATGAGGTGAAACGGACTCAACGGCGTATCGAGCTCGGTCTTTGATCCAAAAAGAGACTCGGAGAGAGTATAGGTGTAGGGTTGGTGCATGATGTATCTACACCACACGACCGTTTCGCTTTCATTGATTGAAGGCTGGACGAACATTACCAGCACGATGTCAAACACAGCTTGTTATTTTTGAGTGATAGTGGATTAAATTCGGATGGACGTAATCTAATGTAGATAACCAGCCTGTACACGTTTTTCAGCCACAGCCACCTCGATCGTGGAGATCGCGTTGCCGAACGGCGTGCCGTCGCGGGAAGAAGCGTGAAAGAGATCCATTACCTTTCATATCGCTGATCCAGAAGTGATTGTAGTGGAATTCTATGGAATCTTGAGTATATATAGTCTATCTTCACCCACGCCGCCTCGGGGACTCGGAAATGGATGATTGGTATATGGCTATTCCTCTGTGGCATCAGTCCTGTTTGTTGACTTCGATCAGATCAACGAGTGCTGATATATAGAGCGCATCTTCATGCCACACTGGCTTACTGAACCTGGATAACAGAAATAGCAGTACCCAATCTGTAAACCCGTCGGACCGCCAGCGCGGTTACTAAAGGTAGCTATATCAATACTACCCCACTTTATCCAATGTAAGACATCATAAATGACATCCCCAAGGCCTATTCTGTTAAGAAATCTCCTTGTTGATCAGCATCATTAGCGTCCATCTATCAGCGCCCCATACTATTCAGACCCCCAAAGCATGCGGCGTTGTGTTATGACAGATGAACATAATTAGATGGAGAAAAAAAGGATCTACTAGAGTGGGTATATCCAAAGACTGGCAATACGGTGAATTCCGATTCCCCGCCACCCACCACGAATAGACCTGAAAAACTAGAAGACCGAGGGCTTCAGATCCCATAGTCCTCGGATGCATCTGTGCAAGATGCCGAGAGAGGTTGACAGGCGGATGGTGCTATTTGAAATCCGCATCGTAACTTTTCCTGTGTTGTCGTCCTCTTGTTGACTTCTGGGATGTGTCAGGATGCACCAATGTACTATTGTGGAAGTGACCCTCACCCACGCAATGCCAAAACGACATGCAGGGCCTTATCTCAAAGCACATGCCCGGTCATATGCAGCGGGACAGTAAATTCGGACATAAATACAGATAGATTAAATCCGAAACGGTGCACTAACGGAGTAAAGGTTTATGGCATGTACTCAGAACGGCTTTGTGCTTGAAGGAGTGGCGAGGGGGGGCTGCACAACGCCAACAACAGAATCACCGCCAACCCTGAAAATAATAGCATCTGACCCAGATACCTTATTCATTTGTCCTCGTATGGTTGAAGTCCTTTTATTACAGGCTTATCCAACTGGACCGATTACGGGAGATGTTCGTAAGAACAAAAATCACCGGCGCGCAGAAGAGCGTCTTGAACCTGCTTCTTCAATATTGGCGAAAGACTCTCGGCTGTTTCGCAAATTGAATGTGTTCGTACGATGTCGTCATATGGGCGGGTTTGGGGCTGCCATGAGCACACGAGCACCATTGAGAGATTACAACTTAGCTGAGTGGGCTTACCTCAGATGATAGAAGAAAACATTAGATCCAAAGGACTATTGATCTCCCGAGACTCGCTGGGTGTTTGCCGGCACGTTGTAGTAAAGGTCCTGGGCTAAATTCAATGCGTCATCGTCTTAATGTTTAAGCTATGGAGGTCAGAGGGTGGAGACGGCAGTTATTTGTGACATCTTACGTCTGGGTACGGTCATGTCCCTCGTATCGGATGGTGCCCAGGAAAGTGGGATTTCAAGTTTAGGTTTCACACCTAGTATATCGTCACCATTTCGGTAAGGCCGGTTACTATTGAAGTGATAGCGTGAAATTTCCTGGAGGGTTCAGGATTGGCTTCGGGTAGTTTGTGAGATTATCATATTGGAACCGTCACTGCCTTTTGAATTCCCAGGATCATCACAATGGAGTGCAGGTTCGTGAGGGAACCATAGAATTCACTATGCAAAATTCCATGGATATTAATTGCAAGAATAGTCTGAGCTGGGTTATCAAAATTTCCGTGTTGTAGGAAGAACCATGAGTCTGAAGGGGTCTGGCAGAGGGAATGTTGAGAATCTGCATTTGGCCCTGCCTCTTCCATCAGGGAGGACCTTGAAACAGATCAAATGAATGTTTGCAGACAGACTACAGGGCTCCCACAATGAGAATCACCTACGTATCTCAGCAACGCTGAAGCAAGGGTAAAGAAACCGGAGGCAGTCTTAGCTATTTTCGCCAGCCTAAGGTTTGCCTGGTGCGACCAGGACTCATTGACAAGGTCAAGATGCCTGCGCTGAATTACTTTGAAACCATCCTGGATAGAGACAGCAGCATCCTCTTCCATTCTCCGCTGTCAATCGGCAGCTCCTTTTTCGAGAGTCGATTGAGAAGCCACAGTCGATAAACGCCTGTTTGAGGGTATTCTGAACGACTGCAAACTATCCAGACTCTCGGAACGACAATGCAGTGTGCAAGAATTTACTGATCGGGTCGATGGTACTCGGCTGCGCATATTCCAGTCCAGCCGTCTAGAATGATGAAGTATTTGGAAGAATGTGACAGTGAGGATAGAGGCTCGAGGGTGCCCTCCGGAGAATGTCTGGATCTCCGGCGAGCTGACTGGCAACCAGGCCCTGACAGGCAGGAACCCGGACCGCCAACTGGGAGGCAATCGTGATCAAAACGCGTTCATAAAGGTGCAAAATTGTCCTGTCCGTTGGTTCGGGAGAAGAAGAACGTTGTACCCAGTAGGCGAGTTGCGCCGGCGTATTCGGTGAGGGTTTGCGCGACCGCTGATTCCCCCACACCGGCCGGTCCTTGATGGTAGAGTGCTATTCAATTGGTGCCCTTCCTCTTGCAGCCATTCCGTGGTGTCAAGGCGGGGGTGTCGCGTGTCGAAGAATCTACATTTGTTCCTAGTGTCAAAATATGCGAGCTGAGGGATGCATTCGTAATGAGTTTTCTCGAGAGGCGTCAAGGATACCAGTTTTTCCTCCAGTCGGGTTCATCCATCACGGCAGGGCCATCGAAGACAACAGTGCCCAACCACTCAGCGACACGAAAAAAATATACTGTCTTCGGAGTCCGAAGTTCGGACTTTGTCCCGGTTATCGCCCAAATTGACGCTAGAGGCTGGTCCGCAAGGTGCGAGTCTTTGATTTCATCGAAAGGAAATGCCTGATCAAGGATATGATGGCCTAAAGCATGAATCTTTGAGGGGGAGGGTGTTTACGTTAAAGCCGTTGGCGATATCGGCGTTGCGGCAGGGGGATCCAGGTGTTGTGGCGGGGCTCTGTTAGCGGGAGTCTCGGCCCAAGTTTATGCGTCGTCCTGATGAGAAGCTGGAAGTAACTCTGATGCCTACCGTTACTGGCACTGAAGAAATTCCTAACTCGGATGTGATCGTGGGAAATTTTCATAAAATTGATTGAGTTTTCGAGTTCATCGTTTCGTACGGCGTCGACACTTCCTCTCCGCCATGCGCAAGCAACTCGACCCCCGAATACCAATCCTCATCAACAACAATGTGAAGAAAAACCACAGGTCGTTCATCGTCCTCGTCGGCGACAAGGGTCGAGATCAAGTAATCCATTGTTCGCTGTTACATCATCCACGGCCATTGACACTGCTCTGCCAAAACTTAGATTGTGAATTTACATTACCTGCTGTCGCAGGCACGGGTATCTGCTCGGCCTTCTGTGCTTTGGTGCTACAAGAAGGAGCTTGGGTTTACGAGCCATCGCAAGAAACGAGAGGCGAAAATTAAACGGGATGTCAAGCGCGGCATTCGGGAGCCCAACGAACAAAACCCGTTCGAGATCTTCGTAACTGTAACAGATATTCGATATACGTGCGTATTTGAAATTTCCTCTTGAATTTTCACTCATAATATGATCAGATATTACAAAGAGTCCCATAAAATTCTCGGAAACACGTATGGCATGTGTGTACTGCAAGACTTTGAAGCTATCACGCCCAACCTGCTCGCACGGACAATTGAGACAGTCGAGGGTGGAGGATTGGTTGTATTACTGCTTAAAACAATGGCTTCTCTCAAACAACTGTATACTATGACCATGGTGCGTCGCCCTTCGATTCCTCCCATCTCCCATCTAACCGATATCATATCCAGGATGTCCACGCACGGTACCGCACCTCCTCCCATGACTCCGTCACCGCGCGCTTCAACGAACGCTTCATCCTCTCCCTTGGGTCCTGCGATGACTGTCTCGTGCTCGACGATGAACTCAACGTCCTCCCCATCTCCCGCGGCAAAGACATCACACCCCTCGAAGATAAACCCGGCAAAGAAAAAGTCGCAGATTCCGAACTTAAAGACCTCAAAGACTCGCTCGCAGACACCAAACCCGCCGGGGATTTCGTGAAGCTCGCGAAAACCGTCGACCAGGCGAAAGCGATATTGACATTTATCGATGCTATTGCGGAGAAGACGCTTTCATCTACTGTGGCGTTGACAGCTTCGCGTGGACGAGGGAAATCTGCGGCGCTGGGATTAGCGATGGCTGCTGCGCTCGCGCATGGGTATTCAAATATATTCGTGACGAGTCCGAGTCCGGAAAATTTGAAGACGTTGTTTGATTTTGTGTTCAAGGGGTTGGATGCGCTTGGGTATGAGGAACATTTGGATTATGATATTGCGCAGAGTACGAATCCGGAGTTTAATAAGGCGATTGTGAGGGTAAATTTGTTTAGAGATCACAGACAGACTATTCAGGTGGGTTGTCTTCTGTTTTATTTTTGGTTAACACTGACAGCTTTCGAATAGTATATTCAACCGGAAGACGCACATGTACTAGGACAAGCTGAACTTGTCGTAATAGACGAAGCAGCCGCAATCCCCCTCCCGCTCGTACGAAACCTCATAGGCCCCTACCTCGTCTTCATGGCATCCACCATCAACGGCTACGAAGGCACCGGGCGCTCCCTCTCCCTTAAACTCATCCAACAACTCCGCGAAAGCACCCGCCCCTCCCTCACCAAAGACTTCGCCGACCCCTCCTCCAAAGACGACACCGCTACCACCACCTCTTCCTCATCCAAAAAACTCCTCACAAAAGCCCCACCCAAATCCCGCACCCTCCGCGAAATCAAACTCGAAACCCCCATCCGCTACTCCAGCGACGACAAAATCGAAAAATGGCTCAACGGCCTTTTATGCCTCGACGCTACGATCATACCAAAAGCGATCGGACAAGGCTGCCCTCATCCATCTCAATGTGAATTATACTACGTCAGTCGGGATACGTTGTTCAGCTATCATCCAGCTTCGGAATTATTCCTTCAGAGGATGATGGCGCTGTATGTTGCGTCACATTATAAAAATCAGCCAAATGATTTACAGTTGATGTCTGATGCGCCTGCGCATCATTTGTTTGTGCTTTTGCCGCCGTTGAAGGATGATGAGACGTTTTTGCCAGAGCCGTTGGTGGTGTTACAGGTTGCGTTGGAGGGGAATATTAGTAAGGCGGTGATTATGGAGGGGCTGGGGAGGGGGCTGAGGGCGGGAGGGGATATGATACCGTGGCTTGTGAGTCAGCAGTTCCAGGAGTCGAGGTTTGGGATGTTGAGTGGTGCGAGGATCGTGAGGGTTGCTTGTCATCCGGATTATGCGAGTGTGAGTTTTTATTTTTGTTTATTAGAGTTGTTTTTGTGGGAGGGTGTGTTGATGGACTTTTTTGGTGTAGATGGGGTATGGTTCTCGAGCGCTGCAAGCGTTGAACTCGTTTTATAGTGGGGAATATTTCGATCTGGACGAATCGAGTAAATCACAACCGTCGTATCCTGATCCTGCGGCAATTGATCCGGTATGTGATGTATTCTCAGTGATGCACGAGTTGGGAACTGATCTACGATTACTTGTTTAGTCGGAAACATTGTTAACGGAGAATACGACTGTGCGAGCCCCACAGGTCATGCAACCACTTCTTCAGAGGTTGACAGAGCGTAAACCGGAGAACTTGGATTATTTGGGTGTGTCGTATGGATTGACACCTCAGCTACTGAGGTCAGTACGAACCTGCGCGTCGTAGAGGATGTAGATACTAACCTTGCGGTGCAGATTTTGGAAACGCGCTGGTTATGTTCCCCTATACCTCCGACAGACACAAAGCGAGCTCACGGGAGAGCATACATGCGTCATGGTGCGCGGTCTCAACAGTTCAACGGATTCCGAACTTGAGTGGTTAGGGGAGTTTACGAAGGGTGAGTTGTACTCCTTTTTACGTCTTTAGGAAGTTGTTGCTGATGATCCGGACATGATAAGACTTCCGGAAGCGCTTTCTGTCACTGTTGTCATACAGGTTCCGCGATTTTGGGAGTGTAACTGCCCTGAGTGTGCTAGAAGCCGTGAATGCAGGTGTCAAAGAAAAGGAAGAAGACAAAATAAAAGGTTCGTTCTAGCTATTTTTTGCACTTCCGTTGCTGATTATCATTATTACCCGTATGTATCGAATAGGTGAACTACAAGCACCGGAGCTATCGCTGCTCTTCACTCCTTTCGACCTCAAACGACTGGAATCATATGCGAATAATATGTTGGATTATCATGTTGTATTGGACTTAATGTCGACCGTCGCTAGCATGTATTTCCAGAAGCGGTTGGGGGAGGAGGTGAAGTTGACGGCGGTGCAGAGCGCGATCTTGCTCGCTGTCGGATTACAAAAGAAGACTATCGAGGATGTCGAGGTACGCCGCTTTTGTGTCGTTTCAGCCGCCGTGCATACATCAACGACTAACGTAACTCTAGACCGAATTGCAACTCCCCGTTTCGCAAGCGCTCGCACTGTTCGTGAAAGTGGTCAAGAAAATCAGTAAACGACTCATCGATATTCAAAAAGCCGCCATTAGCGCGGAGTTAACAGTGGCACCACCCGGACGGGAAGGTGTTTCACGCGTAAATGACGGGGGAACTAACCCCAATCACAAAACCGCAGCAGATGCGGCTGAAGACAAAACGGTCGAGGGATGGAAGAGTGTTAGTGCAGCGCTGGAGGACGAGCTTAATGAGGCTGGAAATGAAGCGACGCGGGCACTGAAAGAGAAGCAGCGCGAAATGATCGACGCGCTAGATCTGCGAAAGTCAGTAAACTCGTGATTCTGGCTGGGATGCCCGGCTATGTGCTGATTACGGGGATATTGGTTTTGCCAGGTACGCGATTAATGAATCTGCAGTTGATTGGAGCGGCGCGGAGGCACAAATTAGGGCCGGAGGTGGAGGTGGGGTGCAGGGTCGGTCGACGGTTGTGAGTGTGAAGATGGGGGCCGAGGGCGGTGATGCTGAGAAGAAGAGGAAGCTGGACGGCGGTGAGGAGGATAAGCATAGCAACAAAAAGACTCGTCGGAGCAAGAAAGTGAAACGGTAGATAGAATATAGTCTTGGATTCTTGGCATATCGGTCGTCCTATTTTAAACCCCATATGTCACCGGTGTAAAGTCACTCTGCGTATCATCAGGGTCATAATGGACATGGACATGTGGGGAAACTCATCTGACCCCCGGGTGCGCGGGGAATTCCAGTGCCGCCTGACAAAATGTGAGAGAAAGAGGACTAGGCTATTTCAACATTGTGCGTGGGTTTCGATTACGTCGTTTCTTGGGAATGTAATAAAAGCACAAGTAGACCGAACTGTAACACCCTCCTGCACCCGCCCACATCCTAGAGCCATGGCTCCTTATTTCCTACGCAATCTCATTCCAAAGCGAGAACAGCGCGCACAGGCCAAGCCTCTCCTACAGGTCCTTGCTGGACTAACCTGGGTGCAATGGGCCCATTTCTTTTGCGGGTAAGTCGGCGTTGGCATCTTGGCGTG